GTTTCCCATGTGCTAGTGATATGTTTTCTGAATCAGACCTTGGTACATCCTGAACAGGACCGAGGAGCACACATTCTGACTCCTGTGATGTCATCGGAGTGGGGCGGAGGCGCGGTCTTCCTCGCTTTGGCCGTTCCTTTTTTTATTTATTTTTTACTATGTTCACATTCCCAGCTCGAAAATATTAAAAAGAAAGAAAAACGGTACCGAGACTAGGACGAACGTGACAACTATTGACCAGGGGCTGCACCGAGACGCAGCAGTGATGGTGGGGCATTGATGGCTCTGCCGACCTGAGGTCTCGGCATCACGGCCAAAAACACGCACCAAAAATAAAAGATAGAGCTGTACGAGTCAGCAAAGTGAAAAGAAAAGAAAGGTTAAGACCAGCGAGTGTGCGCGAGAAACTGTGAGACCGTATTTTAAAAGACATTACAAGGGTTGTGATTGAGAGGAGCAGCATCATCATGGCTGATCATCATCATGGCTGATCATCATCATGGCTGATCATGCCGAGTCGATTGTCCGAGCCAGTTGTGTTGAATAGATACTAGATACTAAGATAGGATAGACGCGCGAGAGCATCATCATAGCGAGTCGAGTGCCCAGAGCCAGTTTGTGCTTCGCAGATGGCGATAAACGTTAGTTTTGAATGCTTGCATTCCCTTGCTGTGGGTCGGCTGGGACAGAAGAGCGGCGGGGAGGGAGTTCCAGTCACTAATACTGCATTGTGGGAACGAGCGCTTCAATGCCAGCGGAACAGATGCAAGCAGCTGGTGTTGGAGCTGGAGGTCGTGGCCAATGACACTGAGTACCATGCTCACTACAAGTTCTGGGGCTGGGTGAGGGGAAATGGCGCGGTGGCAAAACAGAGATCAGCTGCGGAGGGCCAGGCAGGTAATGCAGCTTGTATGCAGGCAAGCGAGGCAACAGTACGACGGATGGCCAGGCTAGGTAATAGTGCACCTGGACCGATGTTGAGCTCGTGCAGACTGTGGCAAGATATACAAAGGTACATGCTGTTTGATGCGTTCGCATGACAAAACACTACAAATTGAGAAGCAGCTAGCTAGCTATTTACGTCAGCTCAAGTTTAAAAAGGAGGTATTTGAATCTGAATATCTGCGTATGAGAACAACTGGCACGGCTGTATGGATTGCCTAAAATACATGAAGCATCTTGTCCACTACGACCGATATTGTCCATGATCGGGTCGCCACAATATAAAACCTCCAAATGGCTATGCAAAATGATCTAACTAGTGCTGGACCATTATTCTAAACACAATGTCAACGATACCTTTGAATTTGTCGATCTTCTTCGCACACAATCCATTCCCTTAGAAAACCACAAGTGTTCCTTTGACATAGTGAGTCTTTTCACTAATGTACCCATACTAGAGACCATCGATATTTGCGCCAAGGTTTTATTTTTTATATTTTTTACAAAGATCACTTAAATGCCAAACATGAGATGCAGCTAAGTGCTTTACCATATAAGGAGGTGAACACCCCCTGGCTGTCCGAGGCAGCGTTTCGGAAACTCGTGCTAATGGTAACCACAGGCGTTGAGTTTTCGTTTTGCGATGTCATGTATCGCCAGGTGGATGGCGTAGCCATGGGGTCGCCCCTTGGACCGGTATTAGCAAATGTTTCCGTTGGCTATTGTGAATCTCTGTTAGATGTATCTAGACGGCCTTCACTGTACGAACACTTTGTGGATGATTCCTTTATTACTCATTTTGAATCACGTGAGAAAAGCGAAGCGAGGTTGGTGCTGACACCTTTTCTTTCGAAATTTCTTCCTTACAATTATCACTTTCTGTCGAAATGAAGAACATTATTATTATTTGTAAAATAGAAGAAGAAAACACATGGGAACGAGTTATGAAGCAACTATCCATGACTGTGAAGAAGAGGTTGGTGCGACTTCGGCGATACTTGGTGAATTGTGTGTTGCTCCCTACATGGGAGCTTGCGGTTTTCCTGCCGACTTGAATTCTCACCCGACGCTTCGATGAACTTCTCGTGTGCTCTGGATGGCAGTCGTGAGTCAGTCAAGTGATAGTTCAAGTCGGCAGGAAAACCGCGAGCTCCCATGTAGGGAGCAACACACAATGATCCATGATTGTAACAAGATGATAAGCAGTCAGAACGTGCGATAACAGGGCACAACACTGACAGGATACTGAGTCATTCAACGGCCTAAGACCTAGCTCTAACACATCTCCAGTGCGCAAACCAACAGCCTTCCAGTTCCAACTTGGAAGGTTCACGGTTGGGTACCGTAGGACCAAAGAGGGGAAGGTGGGCGCAGCGGAAATGTGCACAACCTAAGTCCCACGGTAGCAGAGAATGCCGACTTTTACAGGACGATGACGAGACGAGTGAATACATACGTAACATGATAATGCGGTCTAACTACAATTCGAAGCAGCAAAGCAACACACCACCCGACTTGGGTGGGTCAGCAATATCAGAGATAAAGGAAGGGGGAAGCTTTGCGAAAACTATTGCTGACTGTCAACCTCAGGAGGGTTGATGGCACTGTCACGATGTGATGGATTGTATTCGACTTGAAAAGTAATTGTACGAAAGGCCTGGTCGAACCTATAGTTATGGCTTCTGTGCTTCGTGTGCTGATTTGCTTTCCGCCAACCAAGAATCTATGCAGTCGTGTGTCTAACTGGACACGTGAAACATGTTCCAGTGCACACCACACAACACGTTTGCATGGTCTGGTCTCCCGCATGCATTGTTGCTACATGCTCACCTCCGAGAATGCATAATTATAGTTTATACAGTCATGTAGTGCATGACATAGTACCATGCTGGCAACTGAAATCCGACCCCGGGAGCGGTGCGCTCACATCGCTAAGACCCAACACCGGGATGGTAAAGTTACGAAACAGAGACCGCTAGAATGTGAACCCACCGCTCGGGGGGTCGGATTTCAGTTGCCAGCACTGTCCATGACGTAATCGCTTGTTATGCAGTTCTGTAAACTGTCAGTATTGGAGAGGCTACCGGTGGCAGGAAAACCTCTGGTCTTTCGTAAAACCATGGTTCTAAACATATTAAACCGTCTCTTTACTAGCAACAATGATGTGAAGAAGAGGTTGGTGCGACTTCGGCGATAGTAGGGGAATAGTGTGTTGCTCTCTACATGGGAGCTCGCGTGTTTCCTGCCGACGGCGGTCAAGTGAGAACTCAAGTCGGCAGGAAAACCGGGAGCTCCCATGTAGGGAGCAACACACTCTTTCTTTGCTGGGATACAATTTTATATTACACCACATTTTCGGGCCGGGCCCATCATCAGAGTAATGCCAAGGTTGAAATAAAATTATTTTATTCCTGCAAATGATTCGCCCGGCTACAGCGAACACCTACTGAGGTTGGTCGTGAAACTTGTCCATCTTCTACCCAGCGACGCTAAGGCCGCGGTCACTGCAAGACTTAGCCTCTTCTTCGTCATTTTCCCCTGTTTCCCGTGGGTTTAATCCTAGACGTCGTGGAGTGGTGCTTTCTTGCAGGTTTGCAGTGAGTGGAAGGTGCGACTTGCTCCTCTTGTGTTCCAGATGGCAGTGAGTGGTGAGTCAGTCAAGTATCACGTTCGGCAGGGAGCGTGTGTTCCTAGTTGGAACAACCAATTTCATCACTAATGCTGCTGAAGTCGCAACTTGTAAGTTCATATTGTTGTCCCTCATGCGAACGTGCGACTAGTTGTGGGAGGTGATAGCCGAATAAATAGCTACTGGCTCTTGACGTCTGTTTACAACTCGATGAGCGACTCCGACTCACGCTGCTACCTGTGACCCCACGAGGTGTTTGTCGACCTGGAAATGAAGCGTCTCTGTTAGTTTGTATCCCTGGTGACGGTTTAGCCTGGAGAGCACTATAAGTGGTGCTTTTCAGGCACAATCTTCCTCAGCCTACTCAAGCTCAACTGATGAGGGGTGAATTCCCCAAAACACTGTGTACTAAGCAGGGACTGGTGCTTTCTTGCAGGCTTGCTGAGTGGAAGGTGCGACGTGCTCCTGGTGTGCTCCGGATGACAGTCGTGAGTCAGTCAAGTGTCAAGATCGGCTGGTCCTGAGGAAGGGTGTGCTCAAGGTCACCGGATCGGCGTACCCGCTTGCAGGACTTCGGAGCGCACGTACCACCCGCCGCATGTCGCGCTGGTCAGGCTAGGTTCTCTGTAGCCGCTCCCAAGCTAACAGATCCTTTCAATGTTCTAATCTTTCAAGTGACGTTTCCTTTTCCACCTGGACTCCTCCTTGGTTTCCCTTTTCTCTCTAGAGTCTCTTGTACCTTTGCTATTATTCACTTTAAAAATGTGGGGCTTTTAATAAAACAAGTCGACTAAGCGGTGGTACGCACTACCCACGACATCCGCAGCATCTCCCAACGCAGTGTGTTCTGGGGTACACTTGCTCCATGAAACGTATCAGCCATTATTCGATTTGTTGTCATCATTGGCACACCTGGTACCCGCACGGCCATACCTACTATACACACTTACTTTAGCTGTCGCATCCACTCGTAGTTTAGTTAGTCGACATTCACCGATGTCGACCGAGGCAGCTCTCTTGCGAATGTGCTGCTGTGTAATAGTTACATGTGTCCAGCTAATGTCTCTGCTCCGTTCACGGAATTCAGAATAGGAAGACGGCTGTACCACCCGCTCTTTTCTTCTGTTTTAAAGCTACAGTAAAACCTGTCAAGGCGACCACCTGTCCTAGAAGACCACAGGAAAAAGGACCAACGGGTGCTAGACCCTGGATACGGAGACCACCTGGTAGCATAGACCACGTTTGAAAGTCCCTTGAGCGGTGGTCGTCTTAGACACGTTTCACTGTATTATTCATTTTCTTCTGCCCTTTATTTCATTTTTTTTGTCCTTCGCTTTAGCTTTCTTCTTACTTGGCAACCTGGCCATTAGAATCTACGAAGTAAAAAGTATACAACCACAGCGGTCATGTACCATGGGTTAACAAGGCATCCATGATTAGCACATTCTTTTTCCATGAAGATTCGCAAAAGCAGCGAGAATATGGTGATGTCATGACAACGAGTGGGAGACGTTCAAAAGCACAAACGGCTAGCAAAACAAAAGTTTTTTAAAATTCAGAAGAAGAGCTAGCTTACACGAATCAGTGGAGGCAACAGCAACATGGTACTGAGTAAAAAATTTCAAACAATTCCCTAGTATCAACAACAGAGATGCGGGTGCAAAGTCAATCGTAGCGTTAAGAGCTGTTCTAGTAAAGAAAGTAAATAAAACTGAATGATGCACAGCGATGACGTCAGGATGCACAGCGATGACGTAAGGATGCACAGCGATGACGTAATGATGCACAGCGATGACATACTAAGTGCAAGCCCCACAGGTCAGCATTTAGCAGTCGGGCGGATGGGGATATCTTTTAAAAAATAGGATGCATCATGAAGTTACTGTGCCGGGTTTTTGTATAGGTTGCTTTTGTAATGTGTATGGCACCTTCCACGAAATGGAAGAGAACAGGTGTGCATCCACGAGTGCACTCTCGCCGTGATCGCCGAAGTGTACCCCAAAATCACATGCAAGCGGATCTAAGAGCAGCGTGCGGCGGCTAGTGACACAGGTGAGCAGGGAGTGAGCCGCTCAAAGCAATCACTCTGTCCAGCGCAAAACATACATGCATCATAAAACTATAAAATTGCATTAGTCTATCAGGGCCAGCTGCATTCCTATAACTACTTTCATGATCAGCGTGACAGAAGAGATTTTATTACTAGTCAGGAGAGGGGAAAGAGAGAGAGAGAGAGAGAAGGAGCGTAAGTGTGACTGAGTGTGCGTGTGTGTGTGTGTGTGTGTGCGTGTTTGTGTGTGTGTGTGTGTGTGTGTGTGTGTGTGTGTGTGTGTGTGTGTGTGTGAGAGAGAGGGAGAGAGCGAGGGAGAGAGAGAGAGAGAGAGAGAGAGAGAGAGAGAGAGAGGAGATAGAGAGGAGAAAGAATGAGTCAGAGAAATAGAAGGGCTAACAAAGGTAGAAGAAAGGCCCCCAGTAGGCCAGTAGTAAGCACAACAAACATATTCCGCTTTTTTATTTCTCGCCGCCTACGGAGCGGCGTTCTTGCGTGCTTCACGCCGTCTTCGCCGTACAATGCCGTTGATGTACGCCTTCATCAACTTGGCTATCTCAAGAACCTGCAAGACGACGCGTCAAAATGCATAGAACACATTATTCAGTGTATGTTGAGAACGCTGCGAGACCGATGCCTCATATTAGCGAGCTGAAGGACATTGAGTGCAACTACAACCTTATTACTGGGATGAGTGTGTGCTAGTGGCATGCTGCACTGCCATAGAAATATATAGAGGGGTTTCATTGCTGCGCTGATGAGTCCGCAAAGGACGAAACAGTTCTGTCCATAGATTGAGGGTTTTCACATAATATTATGCGACATGCGACTAAATTTGTGCAGCAGTGATTATGGCATTTGGCCAGTGGAACCAACATGGCCGTCATCATGTGCCCCGTAGATACAGGGGTTGAGTGGAGTTGGAACCAACATGGATCATATCATGTGACCAATAGATGCCGGGTTTGTGTGGAGTTGGAACCAACATGGCTACAGTCAACTTCGCTAATAACGACTGCGGATATAACGACAATTCGCGAATAACGACAGAATTTCCATGCCCAGAGCAAAGTCCCATCCAACTGTAATACATAGAATGCGACTTCGGGTATAACGACACTTCGCGAATAAGGACACTTTTCTGATGCCCCGCCGAGTGTCGTTTTAAGCGAAGTTGACTGTATCCTGCATAGTCATGTGATAAGTCTTGTGATAAGTCACGTGGTTAGTCATGTGATAAATCATGTGATAAGTCATGTGATAAGTCATGTGATAGATATGAAACTACTCTACATGTAGAATGCCTAGATGTAAATATGAATGCCTAGATATAAATACCATTCTCACCTGACTGGTTTCGAAGGACATTGGCTCCTCACCCTCCACAACCAGCTTGTACGTGTTGGTGGCTGGGGCGCCAAATGATAGAATCCTGCACGCGAATAAAGAACACACACACCACAACACAGCAATCCCGGTGCAGCCCCTGCTCAGTAGTTGTCACGTTTGTCCTAGTCTCAGTGCCAATGTGGTTTCATTATAGCATAGTAAAAAAAATAAAATAAAAAAAAATCCTGATTATCACAAGCCCTGCTGCTAAGCACTTGCAAAAGCTGACAACGCGATCGTTCTAGCGACCTTCTTTCTCCGTTTCGTTTTCCTGTTGGAGTCGTTTCCAGTTCTGAGAGTTTGCTTGATTTTAACGTCATTGCGTAGGAGCCGAGTTCAACGGAGGTTGTTTTGCAAAGGCTGTTGCTGCTCTTTGGCCTGTTTTCCTGGGTTAGTTTCCAGTTTTCTATGCTTTCCTTGCCTGTCCAGTTTCCAATTCTGCATAGATCTTGCTGGACCAACGCACTTTGCCTTGGACCAAGGCACCTTTGTGATGCCAACCTAGCATTTCAAAATGGATCCGTACGTGGAGTGCTGCATTTCCCCGATTATCAGTCTCACTCGATTGTAAGTCGCATCTCCATTTTCAGGTCTGTCATATCGTTTCAGTACATTCACTTCAGTAGTAGATCATGCTCGATTGTAAGTCGCACCCTCTTTGTTGGCCCTGAAGTTTAGTGTTAAACGGTGCGACTTATATTCGGAGAAATACGGTACCTTTCACTGTGTGCGGAATGAGCGGGGAGAGATTCTCGTCGCATGCCAAAAAGATGAAAGGTGAAGCCCAAGAATACTCCGTTGGCAGTCTTTGAGTGTGATGTCAGCAAGGAGGAGTCGGTAGTAGTAGTAGTATTTATTATTCGACCAGGGAAGTCCCTGGTCAGCTTGTGTGGAGGCCAAAACATTGTACTCACTGAGGAGCTTGCGAAGAAGTTGGTTGAAATCAACGACAAGCACTGGGGTAAGCTGTCTTGTAAGAAACTTGCAGGCGAGCTCACTTGCGCTGGCTTCCCTAGCAGCACATCCTCCGTGAAGCGCTGGTGCAAAACTCTGGGCGCGACACGCCGTCGTCGCTAAACCACTTCTCAGCCCCAAACACCGGCACGATCGTCTTTCTTGGGCGATCGAGCACTACGAAAAGAGCAGGAGGAAGTTTGTCGACAACAACATTTGCCACGGGGATGAGAAGTGGTTTTACCTCATGAGAGATGGTACTGTTTGCCCCAAAATGTTGCAAACAAAGATGGAGTTGTGGAGCAAGTCGTGAACATGCCAGCTGATCCGCGTGTGTATCACAAATCGCGGATGCCAAAAGTGATGTTTTTGGCAGTCACAGCTAAGCCGCGTGATGCGTACGAGTTCGATGGCAAAGTCGGTATCTGGCCATTCACACTACAGCGAAAATCCAAGCGCAGCAACCCGAAAACAGGCCCCACACCGCGAAGGCAAATCAACAGCACTGGATTCGACATGGTGCGAAGAAAGGTTTCAACATTCGTGTTGTTACGCAGCCTGCGCAGTCACCCGACTTGAACTGCAATGACCTTGCATTCTTCGCAAGTCTTCAGACTGATGTCGAGATGGTTGCGAAGAGAACTGTGACGGACCTGGTGGCGGCAGTTGAACAGTCGTGGTCAGAATATCCAGTGGACCGTATGGCAGCTGTATGGAGAGTTCTTTATGCCTCGTTCAAAGGCATCGTGGAAACGCACGGTGACAATAGCTACAGTCACCACACAGGGAGCCGCGCTGCCCACAGTTCTTCAGAGCGCAGAGGTGACAGCCACAACCGCTTCTTTCCAATCTCTGCTATCCGCCAGGCTGAGAAGGCGAAAGAAACAATGGCCCAGCAGTTGGACACGCCAGCAACTGTCAACTCGAGCGACAGCAGCTCCAGCGATGCTGAATCGGATGAGTAACTCTTGTCTTGACTTGTATGTATCTTTGACCTCGCGTGATTTGAAAAAAACTTGCTATTTTTCGCTACCTTGCCGCCTTCAGCGGACTCGCTACGCTCTGTACAATTGCTGAACCTGTTGTATCTCATTTGAATGTCTTTTATGAGTTGTTCTTCTGTACAGTAACGGCTGGGTTTGTCATAAAGCGAAGCAAACTTCAAGTTTTGAACTGTCAAAGATAAGCGACAATTGCGATGAGCCGGACCTAGTATGTTTGAGGGGGTAGAGAATAATTTAATATAAAGTGTGTGTGTCTTTTATCTACATGTACATGTATGTACATGTAGATGAACCCACCACAACTTTATATATATACAAGACAAGATGAACCTGGACATCAAATCGATGAAAGAGTCCGGAGAGATTATTGTCAAAGCCGACAAGACTTGTACAAAGTCCCCAAGGATAGTTACAAGAAGCTGATGGACGACAACATCACGATGAATTACAAGCACGCCCCAGTTGATGCCTACAGACATATCAACATGGAAGCCAAGGAGATCGCCCACGGACTCGATATTGCCGACCGCGTAGAGGTTATGGCACAGGCCGATGCTTTTGTCACACTCAAGGACCATAAGGACCGGTTCGCTAACGACTTAGCCTGTCGGCTGATCAACCCGGCCAAGTCGGAATTGGGAAGAGTAAGCAAAGCCATGCTGGAGAGACTCGTGAGTGCGGTGCGTGCTGGAACTGGTGTTAAGTTATGGAAGAACACTGCGGCAGTCATCGAATGGTTCAGGGGCATTGACAGGAAGCACGAGTGTACATTTCGCTGCTTTTCGATGTAGTCGAGTTCTATCCATCGATTTCTGAGCAGCTTCTAGAGGAAGCGCTTGACCTGGCATCACGACATACCACAGTGACGGACCAGGAGAGGCGTGTCATCAGACATGCAAGAGAGTCCCTGCTGTTCCATGACGGTAAGGAATGGGCGAAGAACCGCGGCGATGGTCTTTTCGATGTTACCATGGGATCGTATGATGGTGCGGAAGTCTGCGAGTTGGTGGGGGTGCTGGTCCTGGACAAACTTGCGGAGATTTTCGATAGGAGCGGCATCGGATTATACCGCGATGACGGCCTAGCTGTGCTGAGAAATGCCTCTGGTGCGGCGGCCGACAGAGTGCGCAAGGATATCACCTCTGCCTTTGCGTTGTTTGGCCTGAGAGTGACCATTGAGGCCAACCTAAAAGTCGTCAACTACCTGGACGTTACGCTTAACCTCCAAAACGGCAACTACCAGCCTTACAGAAAGCCGAATGATAACCCACTCTACCTCAACATCCAATCCAACCACCCGCCTAACATCCTCAGAAACCTACCGAAGGCAATGGGTAGACGCATCGCCAGCATCTCGGCTGACGAGGCAGTGTTCGACAGGTTTCTCACGGTCTATGCTGATGACAGCGATTTGAGTGGCTTTTCTTGTTTGTTTTCTCTAAGGCGGAGAAAACAAACAGCTATCAAGCATGACGGAGTGGCAATCGAGCGGTGCACCCCTTCAAAATTGTGGTTTGGATTTCGACGGTTGTCTCTTTCGTTTTGTTCTGCATTCTGTTGCTGTTGCTGGTGTTGTTGTTGCTTTTTTTGTATTTAAGGGCATACTTGCCTGCTCTCTTTGCTTGCACGAGTCGCCGCCATTTTGCCGAAGGCTTCGTGCGGACACTGCAGTCGCGGGCCGTCATGTACGGTTTTCTCACGATCTGTGCTGATTACAGCGTGTGTAAGGGTTGCACTTTCCGGATAGTACGGTGCCGGCCTTCCTAAGCTAAGGTATTTCCAGAAAAGGCAAATACGGACAAGTAGCCATCGAACTGCCGGTGGAACTTTCAGACGTAATCAAGACGATTGTTAGTCTCGCCATCTGTCCAACGAACAGTTGCGTCGGAAAGGGCTGTGAAGATGGGACCTGGACTGTAATGAGAGAGCAGAGGAAAGTACCACTTTCACACATATTCTGATGCTTTTCACACCAACCAAAGTGTATGGCTCAAGATACCTTTCGACATTTCTCACAGCTCCGCGTTTAAATACCAGAAAATTGTATTTTACGTATTCAGACCAGAAACTTACTGAGCATACGGATAGGAGCAAAGTGGATCGCTTTCACCACGGCGATACACGGCAATCGTCTCCTTGGACACCGCCAACCACAGGTCCCGCGGGAATCGACTGTTCTCCTTTTCGGCGGCATACTACGAGAGAGAAACAACAGGGGTGTACATACATGTATGTAAAACAGTCGAGAGAACGTGACTGGAAAGCTACGGATATACATGTACATGTATATAGCTGGTATAGTCAAATCTGTCGTAAGCGACCGCCCCTTGGTGCAAGAAAAAGCGGTCGCTTACGGCAGATGGTCTCTTACGGCAGATGTATGGTAAATCCGGCATACCAGGTATATGCTTCCATGTACTCAAATCGACGAGAATAATGTGATTTTTTTATTGGATATTCAACGACGACCATACCCGTATAGTACGCGTATGCGACATGGCAGTAGATCGACACTGCCTGGACTTGAGAGCTACAGTACAGCCTCAGTACAGGCCAGGCGCCAGTCGATCGCACTTCAAGTGACTTGCGCGCAATTGCAAGACAGCGCATTTTCACACTTTGCAGTTGACAGCGCACTGGCAAGTACAGTTTCGCACCTGACTGAACCTGGGTCGCGGTCGCTTACAGCAGATTTGAATGCAGCCACCGTGCATGAAATCGCGGTCGCTGGTCGCGCACAGCAGATGGTCGCTCTGGACAGGTCAGTTTGTATGTGAAACCGTCGGTGCTCGGAAAGTCGGTCGCTAATGGTAGATGGTCGCCTACAGCAGAGGTCGCTAACGGCAGATTTGACTGTATGTTACAACCCGCCATAGATCCAGCTACAGCACGCTCCGGGTTGTAAGCCAAATCCCGATTTCCAGGTTCCTGCCACGTTGCTCCAATGTACATTGACATGAATACCTATGAGCAGAGAGGACCAGTCAACCAACGTGAAATGCCACGGCACTAGCATTCGTGACTAGGTCTCGTGCACGACCTGTTGGTTGTCGCAGGTTACACAAAGTCAAGAGTGCGTACCTCTACGTCGAAGAGTGTCGCACCGTAGCCACTCCACTCCCGAATGATCTCCATGTACTGTTCCATTGCGACTTGCTCTGTCATGCCCTGGCAACGGAACAAAAGCAACAGCAACAGAAGCAACAGCATCAGCATCAGCAGCAGCAACAGAAGCAACAGCAACAGAAGCAACACCAGCAGCAACAGATACACTGTCGTGAGGCACAAGCTGCTGGTACTTTTTTGCTCACCTCACAAAGATTCACCTAGGGTTCCCAAGGTCATGCCTGTTGGGACTCCCCTAGTCAAATAATAAATACTACTACTATTGCAGAGCATCAGCAGCATCAACCACAATAGCAGCAGCAGGAATGGAAACAGAAACAGCAGCAGCGGCAGTGACATTATCAACAGTAGCAGCATCAGACGCAACGAAGTGGCTGATTTTCACAATGGCACATGTTTACGATGATCTCTCCCACACATACGTAGAGAATGTCTAAACTAGGACCTGGGGGAGGGATATAGATCACACCAGTGTGAGATGCAAAGGGCTGGTCATACACTCACCATACACATACTAAATGAAGAACGGATTAAAATACATGTAAAAAAAGAGAGAAGAAAACACATGAGAATGAATTATGCAGCAACTAACCACGACTGTAACAAGATTGATCATGTGTTTCTTTTTCTCTTTTTTACATTTATTACTGGCTCAGTATCCGAGTTAGGATTCAAATATGTAACCTTATTCAAGATTACTACAGTCCAGCCGTGCTCGACATCATCACCAAGTCCTCAAGCCCTACATGAGTACCATTGGAAGTGCTGTGCGAGCAGAAGAAGAATTTGTCTGGGAATGGACTCAGATGGAGAGCCAAGGTTTAATTCATACAAAAGAGAAAGACCAAGGAACTACAAGTTACGCTATACTTACTGTCCACTAACACCACCGTCGGTCAGTGTCATGCAATGTTATCGCATGAGCTGATTTTTTAGTAACTGGTGGTGTTAAAAGAGAGTAAATTATCGTGTCCGTTCCCACTAACACCCGGTAAACCCTAGCTGGTGGTGTTAGTGGACAGTATAGCGTAACTTGTAGTTCCTTGGTCTTTCTCTTTTGTATAACTTTGTCTGGGATTCGATTTCTTCATTTTTCTCACAAGGACTTTACATACTGGAATTTTTTTATTTTATTTTTTTTACAAGAACCACAAACCATCATGGTGCAAACGCCGGAAAAAACGCACAGAGATGCAGATAGTGATGGCAGCCGAAGCAATGGAGGCGGGGCAAGAGCAGCGAAACCGACCAGGGGTCTCGACTTCAGCAGTGCTCATGCGCGTTTAACTGCGGACTAATTGCACTGTGTACACAAAAAGCCATGGTAGATTGGAGATAAGGTTCTCGGGACGAACTGCCTATCATCTGGTTGGGGCTATTTGCATCATCAGCGAAATGTTCTGGCTCAACAGTCCTACCTTGAGTTTCTTCCACTGGTCAGAGATGGACATCTTGATGTTCTGGATCTCCTGCTCTGAATACCCCGTGTTTACATGGCTGTCATCACCTGCAGATACACAGATACATGTATACACAGACATGCACACACATACATGTACACCATGCATGTACATACACGCACACGCACACACTCGCACGCACGCACACACACACATACATTTCATATTGGCCGTGGTTGGCTATAAAAACCCTGCAATCGTCACGCAAAGTGGTCATTGGCTACCCCAGCCATGTATTGCTTGGAATTAAACTAAAATAAACTGACGGCTCATATTACAATCCGGTGGACTCACCCTGTCGGATACGCTTGAGTGTGTTTGTACCAAGACCTCGCAGCGTCCCCTGAGAAGTGAAAACATCACAGAGGCACAGTAGAAACACAAGTCACGTGACAAAAAACGATATAGGTGTAGGTGTGTCATACTGGGGATTAGACATGATGTCATCATGTGTGTAATGGATGTCATCATGTGTGTAAATGATGTCATCATGTGTGTAAATGATGTCATCATGTGTGTAAAGGATGTCATCATGTGTGTAAAGGATGTCATCATGTGTGTAAAGGATGTCATCATGTGTGTAATGGATGTCATCATGTGTGTAATGGATGTCATCATGTGTGTAATGGATGTCATCATGTGTGTGAATGTCATCATGTGTGTGAATGTCATCATGTGTGTGAATGTCATCATGTGTGTGAATGTCATCATGTGTGTAAAGGATGTCATCATGTGTGTAAAGGATGTCATCATGTGTGTAAAGGATGTCATCATGTGTGTAAAGGATGTCATCATGTGTGTAAAGGATGTCATTTTGAGTGTGAATTATGTCATTTTTGTGTAAATTGTGTCAGCATGTGGGAATTGTGTCAGCATGTGGGAATTGTGTCATTCCGTATGCCATGGCACGCTGTGGTAGTGTGTACCTTCAAGGTTCCACTACGCTCTCGCTCTGCACCGTGTCCCGACTTCTTCTTCACTGGGTAGAAACTGAACAGGTCAGAGCTGAGAACAAGATACACACGCACATACACACACGCATATATTATACAAACACGCATATACACACGCATGTGCAAAATGAGTACGTGCATACACACGTGGGCACACACGTGGACACACACGCGGACACACGGTTTAGTCAACACACAAATCACCGTAGAAGTAGAGCGATGTGGCTGTTCAGAATTCCTTTTTTTCACATGCACACACAGACAGGCACACACATGCACACGCACACATGCACGCATGCGCACACACGCGCAAAAGCACACACACATGCACACGCACACATGCACGCATGCGCACACACGCGTAAAAGCACACACACACATGTACCATGTATTCCCCCATCACAAGAGAAGCATGCAAATCTACGAATTCACTGGATGTGCACCCACAGATCTTCTCTTTATAGCAACGATAGCGGGTCTGATTCTGAATGAAACAGATCAAGACAAGCGCCAGATAACTGCTTAATCTACACAACTGGCGAAGCCATGTGAATCGACCGCCTAATGCACAGACATACACACACACACACGCAATGCTTACTTCCATTGTCCGGCCTTGTAGTTTCCTTCTTTGTATTGCAGTCTCAGTGCCGACAGTCGTATTAACCTTTGCTGGTTAGCTGGGAACCGACCAAGATGTACTGCATCGCACGCCTATACACAAACACATACGTACACACACGCGGCCACAGACACACACACACGTGCACATGAAACCACGCACACACACACACACATACACACCACGCAGAGAGACACACACACACACACGTACGTACATATGTAGACTATCCCTTGCCACATGCTTCCAAACAAACAAAAAACACTCCAAACCAATCCGAGAGAAGACATAGAGAAAGTGGCCACCATTTGACGATAGAAGTAGTGACTGATTTCCCCAACGTCGTCTATCGTTTCAGTTCTTCTGCAAATTGTCACTGAAGATGTCAGACTAACCTGCTCAAAAAGGAAGCCTCCCTCGATGCCGTCCATTTTGATGTTCTCGACGTCGAAGAAGCAGAAGACCTTGAAGAAGAGTTTCCATTTCTCACCACCTTCGTTGATACCATGTACTTGATATCTGCATACAAACAAACATGTGTGTGTGTGTGTGAGTGTGTGTACACATACGTAAATTTCAGGAACCGTTTCAGGTTGATCCACAGACAAAAAACCGTCACCAGCTTGTTCCTAGAAGGGCCAGCCTGGTTGACGAACAGCGAGTCTACAGACGTCGTCCCTGGTGAGGGCGAGGTCCGCTGTCGACAAACCCTGGCAAAGTGACCCCCTTTGGGCATAGCATGTCTGGTTATAGGAGTTGCATTGGCCCTTGGGGTGAGTCGCCCCACAAAACCTGCACGTGCTAAGGTCCGACTTCAGCGTTTCTGCCTGCACCTGCTGCCGCTTGTAAGTGGACTTCATTGCCGCCGCCATTGCTAGGTCGGGCAGCTGCTCACCGAGGCCAGATTCCGTATCGGTAGAGGATTCATATGCAGAGCATATCTGCATGACCCGATCGAGCGATAACTCACTGGCATACTCTTCTTCGAGCACCCGTCGTTGCATCGCTCGATCCCTTAGGCCACAGACGAGCCTGTCGCGGAGCCAGGTTTCCCGAAGTTGGGCTTCATGGCCGCACAGTGACCCGCATCTGCCGCAGACTATCTGGGTAACTGCAAGCGTCATGCAGCTGAGGCAGACCCGAGAAGTACTGGCTGATACTTTCACCTTGTCTCTGGCTCCGGCCATGGAAGGCCTGGCGGTCGAGTAACGGGTTTCTTCGCTTTCTCAGGAAAGCATGGACAGCAACCCGCTCATCATCGCCGTCGGCTATGGGAACTACACCCGCCTGCCACAGCCGCACCCAACCGTCGTTCAGAGCTGGACGGAGAACTGCCTGCTGCGTAACTGTACCTGCGTTTCTGAATAGCCCAGTCAACGACACGTAGTCGGACCACTCGACTTTCCACTCGAGGAAACCGGCTAGGTCTATCGAGTCCGAACTGGGCAGGTGGGGTATTTCCGCTCTCCTGGCCCACAGCCCTGCCTCTGGCTGTCTTGAGGTGGATGGTGGCGGGCCGCTGCGTGTGCCTGCGGCGGCCTGGCTTGACTGCACCATTGTGAGCCTAAGCAGAACCTGCTGCTGCTGGCTGAGGGATTGGACGATAGACTGCAGCAGGCTTCCTTCTTCTTGAGCTCCTGGCTGCATCCGCTCTGTCAATCCATCGCTGGTTGCTGCTGCTGCTTCCTCGGCCTTGGCCTTGACAGAGGTTGGTGTCTTTCGCTGCGCCATGTTGTGTCCTGCTCAAGGCAGACCAACTCTTCGAAAGATGAGAATGAATAGATCGGTGAAACGCAATGGCTTTAAAGGGAAACTGGCTGCAAAGGCGGCTTGAAAGGTGACATGTGAATGTGCTAACGTTATGCGCAAGGCGCGAGAGGTCCAGCAGTGCAGCGTGCTACAGTGCATGGAAACAGGTGCGACCACTGTAGCAGCCTTAGTGCCAAGACCCATGCAGGGAAAGGTGCTGTAATACCAACACAGGGTTCAAACAACGTCCGGTGGTGGAAGCACATGATATAAGTTGCAATCACTCACACGCGCACACACGAGCGTGCATCTGCCCACACAAGCTGCCCACCCTACCCACGCAGTACCAGCAACCTCTAACCCCCATAAACAGTGCACTCACGCAGAATCAAGGGAAATCATGCATGATCTGATATACACCATTGATAGAATTCACTACAGTGTCTAGTCCCTGCCCCAAGGACTAAACAAATTCAAATATTGGAATTCAATAGCTACAACAAGAACGACGTCGACAATGGCGAGGACAACTAGCTCTAACTTTTACTACGGCTAACAACAGGGGTGCAGCAAGCCGGTGCGGCCACTTTTTTTAACTCAATGGCAAAAGAATGCAGGATTTTGCACCCTAATTTCAAAATTTCCCTGGGGGGACACCCCCCCCCCCCCCCCCCTCCAACCGGACCACCTACAACAGCCGTGCTACGCGACTGAACACGTGTTATGGAGAGCACAGAGCACAGAAACCACTGATGATGTGAAATGCGGGAAGAGCATGGGATGGAAAATGATAATAACAACATTGATATAGACAAATGGGAATCAGAACAACAATATTCTAGTCTTCAACTGCTATTGCCGCACCTTTCAAATCTGGAAATGGTGTCGGCGACGATGACACGATCTTCGATGTTCTTTGACAGCGACCCACACTGCTCAAACAGTGCAAACTTGTTATGGCTGTGCTGTACACCCATGCCCATGCAGAGCTTTTCCACGATCTGCAGGTGACAGGAACACGTGCACATATGCATACATTTTCACGTTGTTCACATTTCATATCTTCTGTCTTTCTGTCTTCTTCTCCTGTCTGTCTTCTTGCTTGGTTTTTTCTTCCTTTCCCATCCTTGGGAGAGGATGCATTTCTTGGTGGGGCCGTATGTGGTGATGGGTGTATTGGTGTATTTGTGCTACGAGTTCCCCTTTTGGCGCAGGTCCCCTTTTGGCGCTGCGTCCACGCGGACTGCGCAGTTGGCGCCACTGCACGCATGCACCATATTTATTATACCTGCAGCCATTCTTGTCTTTCTGCTTGCTTTTCCTGAAACTCTCCTCGGAACAAGAGTAAGAATCTGGTCTTCATACCGTGTGATCGTTTTGACTGCATACTAGTTGACATCACGAACAATGACGAGTTTCTCATGCATGATCGAAAGTCATGCCATACTCATACAAGCCTTAGCGCAGACCAGCAACTGGCAGCAAGCAATGGCTTCACCATAACATATACATGTGCAGCACTCATAACACGGAAAACACACACACACACACAAACACACACACACACACACACACACACACACACACACACACACACACACACACACACACACACACACAACACGCATGCCTGCACGCATACATATTGCAGCTATTTCCCCGGTATACACAGGTAGGGATCTCAGCGCGTGCAGTGCGCAGGGTGTTTGCGCATACATTGCGTCATCGAGTTTTGAGTGCAGCTCGCGGACACAGCAGAAAAATGGCGACGGTCGATTTTCGACACTAGGGCCAGGGGACGCGGTGGACACTAGCGGAATCGTCATCTTCATCGTCGTTCGAACATACTTTGTAATTCCCGCCGAAGGACAGCGTGGCCAAGGCGATATTGCCCCGGTCGATTTTCCTATAATTTTCCATGCGGCAAGAACCCACTTCAGAGAGGATTCAGTCAAAAATTCAGACGTTTTCTCCGGTTAGATTGTCCTAACTTCGATTTTCAGTGCATCAGCCATCGCGAACATCGCCGCCATTATCACTCGGAGAGAAGACATCGCGCTCAGTGGAAGAGGTGTTCACGCTGCGTCCAAGAGTGAAAGATTGTGCTCTTTGACCCTCCATAGTTCCTCTGAGAGAGTGTCTGGGAGATAGGTAGCTTGGAGATGGCCGTAGAACGTGCTTTCTTGGACACAATATTCAGCCATTTCTACTGTCTTCTTCAACTTGATTTATTTCGAAAAAAATGTTCTTTTCCACGATTTCTGCACTGGACGCGTTTGGGATCGAAAATCTCACCTGCGCAGACTGGCTGCGCAGTTCACGCGCTGAGATCCCTAACACAGGGGAATAAGGGCAATGAAAAATACGTTAGGGTTGGGAATGCCCAAGTAAAATAATATAATACAAATACTTCGAAGTACAAAAAACAACAAAACGCAACAGGGTTAAAAAGACATAGCACTCTCACCTGTGAGGCAGTGGTGGACGAGTCGACCTTGATCTTACATACACCGCCTCCGAAACAGTAGACGGAGACGGATAACTCCTTGCGTGCCTGCATGTGTGTGTGCATGTGTGTGTGTGTGTGTGTGTGTGTGTGTGTGTGTGTGTGTGTGTGTGTGTGTGTGTGTGTGTGCGTGCGTGTGTGTGTGTGTGTGTGCGTGCGTGTGAGAGTGAGTGTAAGTGTGCGAATAGACAAACCGGCAACGACAAATGCAACAAAAAAGTCATTTCTCTAGCGACAACCACCACCACCACCACCACCACCTGGGTCACGAATAGACAAAGGCACTGATCCTAAGCCACATGTGACCATCGCACAGATCAATAGCTGTTCTGAGCGCAGAGCGAGGGGATATAGAGGCTCTATAAATTATCTTGTCTTCACATCACACAACTGGTGGTTGCACACAATACAGCAGTGGGAGCACAGCAAGAATTTGATGCTGAAAATGCAATCAGTGGGTAAAAATTGGACGGCGTTGGCCGTGCCAATATACATGAAATGAGGATTACCGAAACTGCGGCGATCTCGTCACGCGACGGTGGGAAGTCTCTGCAATGCAAAGGGCAAAGGAGAATAAACAGACATGAGAGAAGGAAAACCTCGAAAAAGCAGATACACTGGCTAGGCCTGATTGAGAGATCACAGCCATACAGAGTATACTATACACTGCTGCAGCTTCACTGACTAATCACGCACGCATGCACACACACCTGACCTTTGACGCCCATCGCCAGAGGCGATGATAGCAATGCTACGGCAGAAGCCATAGCAACTTGTGCTGGGATTTCACCATTCAACAGCTTGCAAGGCTGAAGAATTGACCGTCACTATTCAGCCTGGTCTACACCATACAGCTATTTGGAGTGACATTTTCTGGCCAGTGAATCCCTATTTTTGGTCTTTTCATTTTTTTCCCGCACACACATCACACCACATACTCCGGCATGCACTGGCTGTTGGTAACCACCCAGGAGAATGAAAGAAAAGTCAGGAAGAGTCTGAGAAAGAGAAGAAAGACGTGTGTGACCATAATCGTCGGGAATCGAACCCGCAATCTATCGATTGGAAATCACTGCACATACCACTGCACCATATGGGACACACACACAGACACATGGGCACACGCATGCACACACGCACAGACGTAGACATGAACCAGTTGGGCATCAACTGTATGATCAGCCATCCGTGATGCACTGTGATGCTCAACGCACAGCGAGGCTCGAGATACAGTGATTTTGATCTTTTACAGCACCGTGTCACTGAAACTAACCTTGTCTTCGTCTTCTGTATCGCCTTCTCACAGTACGCTGCAAAGCGCGCTGATTCCGTGTTGGGATGCTGTGCTTGTACTCTAGAAAAGAGAAACACAAACCGACATAACAGCAGTATTACCACAACCACTACCGCCACCATCGCAGTAGCAAACCAAACAAAGTTGCAACAAAACTCCTACAACACAGATATACCCGTATACAGCCAGTCTGGTTCAGAAACGGAAATATCCGCAGGTGGAGGTTGATTTCGACTATGGAAAAGCGCACCGACTTCTACGGCCTTGGCGAAGAGACACTGAATTTAAACCAATGGCACCTACCGCTTTAGATGCCAGCTAAGGAAGCGGAGGTACTTTCTTGACGGCAAGAAGCACACGCACATACATGCCAACACCTACACAAGGACAGAATAGCAGGCGGACAGACAGACAGACAGACAGACAGACAGACAGACAGACAGACAGACAGACAGACAGACAGACAGACAGACAGACAGACAGACAGACATAATTATATACACAGACAGATATACAGACATACAGACAGACCTACAGGCAGAGAGACAGACAGACCTACAGGCAGAGAGACAGACAGACCTACAGGCAGAGAGACAGACAGACCTACAGGCAGAGAGACAGACAGACCTACAGGCAGAGAGACAGACAGACCTACAGGCAGAGAGACAGACAGACCTACCGGCAGAGAGACAGGCAGAAGGATAGACAAACAGACCGGCAGAGCTTGCAATGATACAAAGTGACTCCTGAAAGAGTGCACAGTTCGCATTATACAGAGTGACTTGTGAAACAGTGCAGCAGAGTTTGCAATGATACAGAGTGACTTGTGAAAGAGTGCAGCAGAGTTAGCAATGATACAGAGTGACTCCTGAAACAGTGCAGCAGAGTTCGCATGATCCAGAGTGACTTGTGAAAGAGTGCAGCAGAGTTAGCAATGATACAGAGTGACTCCTGAAACAGTGCAGCAGAGTTCGCATGATCCAGAGTGACTTGTGAAAGAGTGCAGCAGAGTTAGCAATGATACAGAGTGACTCCTGAAACAGTGCAGCAGAGTTCGCATGATCCAGAGTGACTTGTGAAAGAGTGCAGCAGAGTTTGCAATGATACAGAGTGACTCCTGAAACAGTGCAGCAGAGTTGGCATGATCCAGAGTGACTTGTGAAAGAGTGCAGCAGAGTTTGCAATGATACAGAGTGACTCCTGAAACAGTGCAGCAGAGTTCGCATGATCCAGAGTGACTTGTGAAAGAGTGCAGCAGAGTTTGCAATGATACAGAGTGACTCCTGAAACAGTGCAGTAGAGTTCGCATGATCCAGAGTGACTTGTGAAAGAGTGCAGCAGAGCTTGCAATGTGTTTTCTTACCTGCCATGTCCTCACTGTTAGCAGACCATCAGGATGTTTCACACCGGCCGTCTGCTTGATTAGTTGACAGTAGATCTAGAAACCGCGCACACGCACATACATGCGCACGCATGAACGTACATTGATGTTTGCGCATCGTGAGAGTAGCTCTACTATGCGTACTGTACATTTTCCAGCCAGCGGTACACAATCATCTCTCCAACGCCATCGCAACCAAGGTCTTCCACTCCTATTGCAATTATAAATCTCCAATTATTTCACCCCTGGGGATTCATCAGGGAGTACATGTATAGCGATGAAATCAAGGAAGGGGGGGGGGTACAACACATGCAATAGTGGCCATGATCATAGGGTGTTAGTAAAAAAAAAAAGAGAAAAACACTAAACAATGGCTATGATCATAAGAGATTGCTTTTAATTTTATTTTTACTGAAGTTCACATTCCCTACTTGTAAAATTAATAATAATAATAGACAAGGTGAGCAAAAGATAAGCCCTTGCAGATACAGACAACACAACTCACTTCACTCCTGAGATCGGGCAGGTCGAACGCCGTCTGCAGAATGCCCTGTATGACGGGGACATAGTCAGAGATGGACTCGGCCTGCACCAGAGAGCCAAACAGCTGAATGGCCTCCTCCTGTCGTGTTCCATAGCCCTTGCTCCTGGCACCTACACGGTGTCATGGTGGTGGTGAGAAGGGAGGACGAGAGAAGAGACAAGGAGACAAAGGAGATGAGGAGAGAGGATAGAAATGAGGAGGTAACATACGATCAGCGCAATATTGAACTCGCCACCGGGTGGTACCGAACTGCTATTCTTGCATATTTCCACGGGCACCATTCTTGGTCCTCTTCCGTGTACAACACATAGAATCGGAATCAATAAAATAAAATGCACAGCCATTCTGCACAAACATGCAACTATACACGCCATAAAAGGAACAGTTTGTTGGCTCAAAGAACGTCGTCTTGTGACGCTCACGTTCTTTGAGTCAACAAAATATTCCTTGATGATGTGTGTAGTTGCATGTTTTATTGATCGCGATTTAAAATAAAATAGTCTTCTCGTCAAATTTTCCAACACAGAGAATATTACTAAATCAGGAGTGGCCATGCAGGCCTCGTTCAAATGACCCGGGCTCCAGGCAACAATGGCGTGACAATGGCGTGACAATCTTTTTTTTCTAACTCGGTCTTACGTTGCGTGTTGACCTTTCCGTAGGGCAGAGGCAGCAAGGCTGACGTCATGTCTGCCGTAGACTGTACGAGTATGGGGTTGATGCGGTACACGCGGTCTGGGTCTTTGCTGGTGCGCAGCTCATCGACCAGCTTCTCGTAGTGACTGGATATCACAGGAAGGTTGTCCACAACCTATCCAAGCACACACACAAGCACACACGCACGCACGCACACACAGGCACACATGGACGCACACAAACACACACACACACACACACACACACACACACACACACACACACACACACACACACGCACGCACGCACACAAACACACACACACACACACACACACACACACACACACACACACACACACGCATGCACGCACGCATGCACGCACACAAACACACACACACACCAGTACAGCACACAATAGACACAGATAGATGTAGCAGTGTGTTACAGAACAGAACAACAAGGACAATCAAGGCTTGTTTGCTGCTAATTCAAGTTTCAAGTTTCATGTTTCATGTTTCTAGGAGTGTGTTATATGTCCCCTTGTTAGAGGCCATGTGTGTGTGTGTGTGTGTGTGTGTGTGTGTGTGTGTGTGTGTGTGTGTGTGTGTGTGTGTGTGTGTGTGTGTGCAAGTGTGTGGCGTGTGCATGCACGCGCGCGCGCGCGCGCGCGCGTGTGTGTGTGTGTGTGTGTGCGTGTGCATGTGTTTGTGTGCGTGTGCGCATGCTTGCTTGCTTGAGTGCGTGCGTGCGTGTGTGCGTGCATTTCCAAGTACCTCCGAGATTGCATTACACCAGCGTGTTGCATCAGCCTGAGACTTGGCAGCAAACCTGTATGTTCTTGTTCGTGTGTTCAAAATCATTGACCA